TGTTTTGTTTGTTTGTTTTGTGGAGGTTGGTTATGTTTACCTCGTTGGTTTGATTGTTCTTTTTTCTCCTCCCTGTGTTGTTTTTTTAGTTTAGTTTCATGTTCATCTTCACGCTGCTTGTCATCTTTTGAAAGTTGTGACTGAAACTGCTGCTGCTGCTGCTGTTGTGGTGGTTGTGGTTCCCTCTGTTGATCCTTTGGTTTGACTTGATGATCGTTATCAATTTGTTTGTCATCTTTTGATTGTTTTTCAAATTTTTGCGTGTTTGTAGTTTCGCATTGTTGTTGTTTATTAGTTTGTTGTTGTTGTTGTTGCTGTTGTTGTATCTGAGGTTTAAATTTATGATCCTTTTCAACCCGTTGTCGTTGTTCTCTCTGTTGTTTTGGGGGTTTGGCTTCAAGCTCAACTTCAGGTGTTTTTTTATCTTCAGATTGTTGTTGATTGTTTTGCTGTTCAGTCAGCTGCTTTTGGGGGTTTTCTTCGAGTACATCTTTAAATTGTTGGTCATCTTTCGATTGCTGATGTTGTTGTAGTTGGTTTTGTTGTTGTTGTTGTTGTTGTTGTTGTCCATTTTGTTTATTAACTTTTTTGATTTGATGTTCATCTTCAACACGTTTGTCATTTTTAATTTGTTGCTGTAGTTGTTTTTTAATCTGTTGTTGTTGCTGTTGTTTTTGTTGCGATATAACTTTTTGCACCTTTTCAAGTTGTCTATCATCTTCAGTTTGTTGATAAAATAGTTTGTCCTCTTGTTGTTGTTCACTCTGTTGATTCTGTAGACTAATTTCACGTTCATCTTCTCGTTGCTGTGGTTGTTGTTGTTGTTGTTGTTGTGATTCAAACAGTTTTGTTTCCTTTGGGATCAATTTTTCACGTTGGTCAGGATGATTATGTGGATCAACTTGTTGGGATGGCAGCTGTTTGAGAGGTTCATCATTTCCTGTCTCCGTGGAACAGTTTTGTTGCATTTGTTGCTGTTGTTGTTGTGATTGCTGATACGAATGAAGAGGTTGTTGTTCTTGTTGGTGTGGTGTTTGTGAAAGTAGTATTTCAATTAGTTGTGGTTTATCTTTGAGCGCGTCTAAGATTTCAGTCAGGTGGTCCATGTTGTTGTAAACGAAGTTCTTCAGAGGTCTCCTTTCAACGCAGCAGGTCACCACATCGAAGTACACCCAAAATAATTTATTCCTGGCCACCGTGAATAGTCTTCCATTCAGCTCTGGATACTTACGTTCAATATTTTGCCTATGGTCTTCTTGAATGTTACCATCATTCTCATCTTGATTTTTTTCTTTCATTTGTTCACGAAAATTAACATCCAGTTCTTGGAACTTTTGAAAAAAAATTTCAACATCCAAATTTTTTTCGTCCGGTTTTTCTAACCTGCGTTGGGCAGTAATACAAAGCAACAACAAATCGAAAACTAACCATTTTATAGGATGCGGTACATTTTTAAATGATAATTCATATTCAGAGTAGAGCTGCATGATGAGGTCTCCATACAAACTAATATACTGCTCCCTATTCAAGTCTCCACTGGCAGCTTCATTGTGCCTTTCATCTAAATAGGTAGAAATGATCTTTGTAAAAATATACAAAGGTTTTACCAAAACTTGTTGCATGAAACAGTGTAGTTCGGAGCTTGATGAGGCTAGTAGTTGCTGGTTTTGCAGATGTTTTTGTAGTATATCTGTTTGCTGCAGCTGTTGTTTTGGCTGTTGTGGAGGTTGTTGTGGTAGTTGCGGTTGCAGCTGTGGTAGTTTTTTGTCGTCAGTATTCAATTTTTGTTCAACATCTAAAACTGATTTTTTCTTTTTTGTTTTTGGAGTTTGTTTTTTGTATTTACTGAGATCACCTTTCCTCTTCACAGGAGTTTTGGTTTCAGACTTGCTCTCAATTCTTCTACATTTAACAGGAGATGAAGCTTCATGTTGTTGTGTTTGTTGTTGAGATATTTGTTGTGACATGTGTTGAATGAGTTGTTGTGGTTGTTCCAATTGTTTGGATTGTTGTAAAAGTTGTTGTGGCAGTTGTTGCGATAGATGTTGGAGTTGGTTAGGTATTTGAAGCGATGGTGGTTGTAGTAACTGCTGGTGAGTTTGAAATAGTTGTTGTGGTACTTGCCGCTGATAAATTTGTTCTTGTAGTTGTAGCTGCTTTTCATGTAGTAGCTGTTTTTCTTGTGGTACCTGTTCTTCATGTGGCAACTGCATCAGTTGCTGCATTAATTCTTGACATTTCTGTATTTCTTGTTGTTCAGCTTCAAAGTTGAATACTTTTTCAAGATCGGAAGATGGTTTTTTCTTCTTTGTCGAATGTTGTTTCTCATCCATGTCATCCAGTTGACATCTCTTCTTTCTGTTTGGAGTTTTTGTTTCTACCTCTTGGTGTTGTTGCAGTTGATGCTGTGGTTGTTGTTCATGTGAGGACTGTCCTAATTGCGAAAACTGTTGTGGTTGTTGTTGCTCTGTTGTTTTTTGCAGCAGTTGTTGCGATTGTGTTGCTGATAGTGGCGGTGATGGCTGTTGTAGCTTCTGGGGTGATTTCTGTAATGGTGGTTTTTGTAGCCGTGGTGGTTGATGAAGTGGCTTCAGTTCCGGTGGTGATGGTTGTAAGATTGGTTGCAGCGGTGGTGGTTTTTCAGGTAGTTGTAACTTTTCTAGAGATTTTTGTTGTTGCTCCGGTGATTGATCTGGCGTTATTTGTTCCACTTTTGTTTTCGATTGATTTTCTTTGCTACGTTTGTTTATTTCTTTCCTCCTTTTTGGAGTTACTGTTTTAACTTTTTCACCATTTCTTGCTGAAAACTTATCAGCGGGTAAACTCTCATTACTCAAACATGCGTTTGTTTGGTGTTGGTATGAGTACGGTAGCTGATTTTTATGCTGCTGTGGTTGCAGCAGCTGCTGTTGCTGCTGCTGTTGCAGCTGCAGCTGCTGCTGATACTGTTGAATAAGTTGCTGGTGTTGCTGCTGTTGTGAGAGTTGTTGTTGTTGCTGAAATTGTTGTTGCAGCTGTTGTTGCTGAAGTTGTTGTTGCTGCTGAAATTGTTGTTGCTGAAGTTGTTGTTGCTGCTGAAATTGTTGCTGCTGAAATTGTTGCTGCTGAAATTGTTGCTGTTGTTGCTGCCGCTGTTGAAATTCATCTTGTTGTTGTGGTTGAGATGGTTCTTGTTTCTGCTGTTCATTGTTGTTTTTACATAATTTTAACAGTTTGAGGAATGCGTTTTTTTGTTCCAATTTATTATTTTGTGATAAGGGCAAAAAAAGATTTCCCCGATGAGCTTGTTCTTCCCGCTCTTTCACACACAAACTTTCGCGCAAAACTGACGGTGGGCAAGCAAATAAATGATCGTAGTTGGGCATTTTTTCATGTAAATGAGCATTCTGCGGGAGTGAATACTGTTGCTGTTGCTGCTGTTGTTGTTGCTGCTGCTGCAACTGAAACAGTTGGAGTGGTGGCTGGTGTGGCAGTGGTGCTCTTAATGGTGCTTGATATTGCAGAGCCACTAGAGATGGTAGATATTGCGGCGTCTCTAATGGTGGTCGATATATTGGCGCATTTAACGCTGGTCGATATTGTGGTGCCATTATGAATGGTTGATTCTGTGCTGCCTCTAACGGTGGCTGATATCGTGGCGCTTCAAACGCTGGTTGATATTGTGGCGCCATTATTAGTGGCGCCCCCAAAGGTGGTCGAATTTGTGGCGCCATTAGTTGTTGTTGATATCGTGGCGGTTGACATAGTGTCGCTTCTAATCGTAGTCGATATTGTGGCGCCCTTAACGGTGGTTGATAATGTGGCGCCACTAAAGATGGTTGATTCTGAAGCGCTTCTAATGGTGGTCGATATTGCGGCGACATCACCAGTGGTTGATTCTGTAGACCTGGTTGTTGCAGGCAGTTGTTCATTCTTTGATCTGTTGGATTATTCAAGTGAAAGGTCGAAGCCATGTCTCTCCCAATGATGTGTGTATTAACCAATGCTGTTTGCTTTGCATTAAAAAAAAAACCAGGCGAAAAAAAACCAGGGTTGAAATTTGCTGTGCTGCTTATTCGGTCGCTCGTGTTCTCTTGGTAGTGATTGCTGCATTCAACAATCTGATTGTGGCTAGATAGCGAACCACTGTCAGGGTTTGTAATGTGATTGAGATTGCTGATGTCATTTGGTGGGAAGGAGCCGAGTGATTGTGGATGTGGATTGCTGCTTGCGTTGTTGCTGTTTGGGACGTTGTTGTATGCTATGTTGTTGTTGCAATTGTTGCTGGCTGTAGAAATTCGATGAACCTCGCCACCTGTGGTTGATGGGAAACTTTTGTTAGCCCCAGCATCGTCACAGATGTTTGCACCGGCGAGCAGTTGAGGCGCTTTGAAGGGTGAATTTGTTGCAGAGCTGTCAGGCGTTCCGACAGATAGATCAGGATGACCGCGTTTCAACGTGGAGCTACTATAGGCTGTGTTGGACGAAGTGAGGTGAGATGTTAATCTTTATATTTAACGTGAACGCTCTACAAGAATGTGCAACAACAATATGCAACAACTATTTTCTCCATACTTTTCATGCATAGACATTTTTTTTCTCCGTTATTTATTTTTCGCTATCATTTTATACTATAGCCTTGCATGTTGTAACAGTTTCTGCGTTGGTCAGATTCTGATGTTTTAAAGAGTAATAAACAAAACAAACAACTACAACGAACACCAACACAAACAGACAACAAAAATGGTAAAAACGAGATGGTGTCGTAGTTAAAAACCAGAGGTGACCAAATCCTATCTCGAGAAGAAATGTTTGCTTTGTTTTGTCGTTGTTGTTGTTTATATTTAAAGAAAAGCTTGCTTTTGTAAATAAGTTTCAACAACAAACACCAACAACAAACACCGACAACAAACACTAACAAACAAATACCAAACAACACCAAACAAACAACAACAACAAACAAAATAAAATCATTAAAAACTTACTTGTCGGAAATAATTGCCCTGGTGGAAAGGCCGAGAGAAAGAGCGGATCAGGCGGCAAACGAATTAAAGGAGGAATGAACGGGATCATCTTTGGGATAATGACAGAGTTGGGAGTGCTGATGGGAGTCTCAGGCAGCGTGAACTCTTCCGGAATTGGAATGAAAGCCGGATTAGATGGATTGGCAAGATAGTTAGAAAGTTGATCCATCTGAAAGTTTTGTAAAATGTAACCATTAATTAATTAAACAAATTATTAATAAACTAATTAATTAACGAATTACTAATCATTTTTTAACATTATATTGATGGATGGTGAAAATGATTATGGTAAAAGACAGAAAGAAAGAGGATTGTGTTTACAAATAACGACTTTACAAAGAGCCAAAATAAAGTTGGCATTCAGTCTTCAATAGTTGATGATAACAATCTCACTAATGATGATGATGATCGATAATTATAATAATAATACTGATGGTAGCCAAGATGGTGTTGCTGATAACGATGGCACGTTGAAAGATGGTGATAATGAGATGATGACGACGACAATAGTGATCATTGTGATGAAAAATTATGGAGGAATCTTTGTTAAAATAACTATGATGGTTACGATGATGGTGATAATGATGATGATGATGATGGTGGTAATGATGATGATGGTAATGATGATGATGATAGCCACGTGGCAGTTGCCGCCTCACTATCGCAAATTATAATTATGTTATTTTACTATTCAGTGACAATTATTACATAGTTAATTAATTAAGTAATGAGAATCATAATTATTAATTAATTGCTACACCCAAAACACACAAAATTATTCTAGATAACACGGCTATAGGTAGCCATACACGTTCAATTAACATCTAATTTGTATGGATAGCAATAATAACAATAATAATAGTAATAATAATAGCATTAACAACAACAATAATAATAACAATAATAATATTATTAATAATGATATTAGCATCAACAACGTTAATTGTTTAATTAATTAATGATTATGATGAT